CCCACCTTAACTTCGTTATATCGTAGCGTTTTAATTTCCACGCTATGGTATGGGCTTAATGGAAAAAAAAGGGATGGGGGAAAATAAAACGGGGGGGACGAATAATAAACGAAAGGAAATGCGAGCGGAAACTGAAACGATTCTGGGTTACGGCGGGGGGATCCCGGTGTCGAAGGTATGATAAAATTTTTGCCCGGAACTGCGCGGGGACGGGGGATTGCGAGAATTGGAAAATGCAATGAACCGGGACAGCTAACCGTGTATCGAATTTGTGTATTTCCATGTCCATAGATTACCACTGGACGATGCATACCGGTACTAGCATTGAATTGCATATTACGGGGGAAGAGACATTTTCTTTATTCGCAGATGTGCGCAGGGGTGTTATTTATGGCGCCGGTGGGGGAAGGGGAGGGGAGCGTTTGGATTGAGCGAAGGGAGATTAGAAACGCGATTTTCGGGGAGCGCAGCATGGGGAAATGCGATTTATTTATTTTTGATAAATTCGATGTTGTATCATATTATTTAGAAGATGTCGCGGATTGTCGGAACATTGACACGAATTTTCAGGAATTTCGTCGCTAATTTTCATGGATTCATTTCTAATTTTTACGGATGAAAATTTTTTATGGAATAACTAGCGATTTTGTAAGAAATTCTATTCAATTTCTATGGAAACTCCATCATAATTCTATTGGGGTTGTGTGGGAATACTATTGAAAGATTCTAGTTGGTTTTGTCAAAGCGCGAATTGGATTAAAAATTATACGACTGCTCCCCGCGTTTTGATAGAGCTATTCGTTTATAGAAAAGTGTCTGTAGGTGGTGATTTTTCGATATAAATTATTCTGTTGTCATTTTTTTTTCAAGAATTCTTGGGTTCAATTCAAATTTTTTTCTTGGATTTTATTCAGAAGCAAATGTAAATACAGTGGAAAACGCAGAAAATTTAGGCTAAAAAATGCCTACAGAAAATCGAAATTCTATTGTCTTTTTCCAAAATACACGGTAAAGCTGCACAATCTACTAAACAACAAATAGAATTTTCAATAGAATTCTGATAGAACTCCAAGAGAATTCTAATAGACTTCCAATAGAAATATAAAAATGATAAATTTCAAAAAATTTCTGAAAATATAAAGAAATCTGTGAGTTAATGAACGCTGTGAATTTCAGCTCAATTACTCCCTGAAAATAAATCGAAATCAATCAAACTCTGATACAAATTCTCCTAAATTTTCAATCAATTGAAAATTCTGGATAATTTTATTTTAAATATTCAGGATTGAAGATTCAAGTATTTCAGCGAATTCTCACACTCCTGCAGTTCAAAAAATTATAATGTCCCTCGCAGCTTGCCCCCCTCCCCCCCTGCCTCCCGCTTTCTAATTATTTTCACACATTCAAAACGATTCGAATCTAAGGAACACGTATTACAGGACTGCGTCTTTGTCAGAAACTTCAATGCTCGCGACTGTTATGGAAGAGTAAGTTGAAGGTTTTAAGTGCAGCATGTACCGAACTTGGATGATATTCACCTCCACCTGGGAACATTCTGAGACACAATGCGTGGGGCTGTGTGTTAACTCGAGCGAAAGTTACGGAGTTTCAGTGGCAAACGGATTGCTGAAATATGGGTATCCACACGAGTGGAATATTCTACCTCATTTCCGTGATTTCCACATTCTGATGGCGCCGAGACACCTGAAGACACTCATTTTTACAGTGCATCATCATTTTAACTAAACTAAACAATTCGAGTTCTTCGCGCAGTAAAAATAACGTTATCAGTTACACAATTGATAATTTAACAAATGATTTTCCTGAATGCACTGATTGTACAACCAGCCCCGAAATTACCCATTCAATATTTGCAAACGAATAAAATAACAAATACCCAATTCCATCTATAGTTTGAAATAATGATACTCCTCATCACGATGGGAATCACGCGGTACCTTAATTAATTTTCCTATCCCGAAAATCCTTCCATGCAGTCGCGAGATTTCATGCATGGAGAATGAAATAATCAATTAGTGAACTAGAATTAATAAATCGAAACTCTCCTCCCGCTGACGACAATCCAACTCCTGACTACATTTGCGCAGCGATAATTACACGACCTGGGCAAACACACGTCACCCGTATAACCTTTCGACATGGATATTCATGGCCAAGGTTAATTGAAGTCGAGATTGCTGGGATCACAGGGGACGCAGTTTAGTGGGGCACATAAAGCTACGTGTATGCATAACTGCTTGCAAGTGCGTGTATTCTACGGGATTTGCTGAGTGGACGATAAAACAGGGGGTTGTCTTTGAGGCTCTATGAATATCTTGAGGGGGGATTACCCTGGGATTGACGGACAGATGAGTGCATAAAAGAAGAGCAATTTTCGAAGAGAAAATTGTTTCTCATTTCATGGAGTGTCAATTAAGGGGAGACTATGAGTTTTAAAAGTCGTGGGTTATCAGAGTGAGACTCTTCATGCATTGAAGATCGATTATATAGATCTGAAAACGAATAATTAGGGCGAAAAAATTTTTTTTTTATTGTTCGTTTGCCCGAAAACGCTTAAAATGCCAAAAACAGTCCAGGGCCTCCCATTTTTGAGCTACGAAATTTTTTTTCCCAAATTTTCGGGAAAATATGTGGAGTAACAATTACGAGCTAGTTTTTTTAGTTCGCCTCTCACATGGCTAAATTTGCTTTTTTTTTGTATTTTTTTACACAAATAGTGAATTTTTTATATGAAAAAAACCGGAATCAGCTGTGAGGGAGTCGAATTCCAAAAAATGGCTCGCAATTGTTGTTCCACACATTTTTCCGAAAATTTTGAAAAAAAAAAATCTTTTGTAGCTCAAAAATTGGAGGCCCTGGACTGTTTTTCTCACTCCAATAACTCACGATTTTTAAAACTCATAGTAGTCTCCCCTTAAGACCATCGTGTCCTCAAATTGAAGTATTTTTTAGTGTCTCAAATTAAATTCTTCGATTTCGTCAGTTTCTCCGAAAGAAATTTGAAAGAAGATAATTATCATTTTTCTGTACGTACGGAATTGTTTATCTCCCAGGGGATTTTGTAATAAACGAATTAACATTCTAACTCATGTAATGTATAATGCCAGGTGAAGGGCTATTCATCTCGTTTCTCAGGTCCCACCACAAGCTGAAAGTTCCCTTCCGCCTCTGCGCCCACTAAATTTTCGAAAGCTATTAAATTTATCGGTCTGAGGAGATCCCGTGCCTCTCTAACTTTTATAAATGGCACAGGGTGTGCCACGGAGTATTCTCGCAATTTAGGCGAAAGAAGATCGTTTCTCATTTCGCCTTAATTCGGCCAGTGGTGGGCGCGATCGGTTTCGGTGAGAATGAATCTGCTGGAGGGTTCGACGGGAAATAAAATTATGGGGAAAATGGAAAAAGTGAAAATTGAGAAGCTTAATGTTCTTAAACCGAGAACATTCGGCGAAGTGGGTTTTCGCTGAACATTCTTAATTTAAGGACCCGCATGTTCTTATATTATAACTTTGTATTTTAATAAATTCTGAAAGAATTGAAAACTATTTCCCCTCATTTCCAGCATTTTTCGCTCGCTAAATTCCACTACTACGAAGTTCCGAAATTTAGAGAATTTTACTGAACCTCGTCGGGAACATCCCTTTCCTCATCCTTAATTATTTTAAAATTCAATAGAAAGCCGATGATACCGCAAAAACCTTGAGAGTCAAGAACAAATAATCAGCCCAAATTTTCTTTAAAACTCATTACCTCAGCGAATATTTGATGGAGCAACGGTGAATGAGCGCAAAATTACCCTTCTCCCAGCTAATTTTCATCCGCCCATACCCATAATTAATTTTTACTTAATTTTTCCCCCTTTATTTGTGTGACTAATTGAAATTACTTCCCTGTCCTCCATCACCGGAATTTCACCGGGTCGAGGCTGTACACACATCGATTATAATCATATTCATTGTTGAACTAGTTGATTCAACCTAATCGAGTTAATGTAGTGGAAGGATCAAGTTTTACCTCCTCTTCTTTATCTCCCTCGCTCCAACGAATTTTAACGCCGGCTACCTAACAAGTTTCATAATTATTCACGGGATGGTTTATTCTCAACGGGATATTTACAGGAGTTCATGCTGCACCCACGACGCCAAGATAAAAAAAGTACATAAACAGAAGCAGTGTAAGTAGTCTTCTTCATCAGGATAAAAAATTGAAAATTCCAGGGAAAATATTCATTACGGAGAAATTTTTCTGACCGCAAAATTTCCTGGGAGAAAAATTTCCATCTTTTTCTGGTGGCGTTGGGATACTGAGGAGTTCATTTACCACAAAAAGTTCCGCAATTTTAGAGGATTCTAAAAAATTCTAGCGTTTAAAAAAAATTGTAGCTGTGTGAAAATGTTATTATTGTAGAAGATTAATTCAGTTGATTCTAATTGAGAATTCATTTGGAATAAAAGAATTGTTGATATCATAAGATTGAGAAATTCTCATTAAAATAAATATATGAGGTTATTAGTCCCTTTAAGTGGTAGTTTTAAACCCCATTTATTATTCTAACGATTGTTGGTTTAAGGTTATTTTTAGTCCAAGTTTATCTATTAGTTTTAACCAAGAAAAGACATTTCGAATTGACCAGATTTATTATTGAGAATTGATACCTTTTCTCATGAATAATTGTCAACTGATAGATTTTCAGTCCTAAAAATGATATCGCGAATGCGTAATAAATTTATTCACAGCCAGAATGTTCCCAGAAATTGATTCAATTATAAAAAAATGGAGTTTCTGCAATTTAAAACAAATTTCGTAATTTGTTGATAAAAAAAAAGTATTTAAAGGAAATAAATATTCTGCAAAATGTAATTTAGGTAATGCTAATTACGTAAGAATTTCCTCAAATGGCCCTCTCCTCAATTCAATTAAAAAAATTCAATAATTGAATATTTCTCAATGTCAAAAATGGAAATAAAAAGAAAAAAACATTCAGTTTTGATAGTATCTATTGAGAAACAATCACTCCATATCGCTTTCCGAAGATAATACACCATCACGACTCCAACTTACATTGGACAGACTTGCGACGGGAGTTGCAGGAAATAATCGCGATTCCCTCTGGGATTTTTCAATTTTTGGCGCATCGTTTGACCCCGCAGACGAGGACATTGGGGTTGGTAACCTCGCGAATCGCAGTGCCATTCGGTTTGCACGGTCCATCTCATCTCCAGTTGGCAGAAAATACTGGCCACGGTAACGTCGCAATATTCCATATTCCACCCCGCGTTTCAGCGCTGTTTTAACCTTTATAAATTGTGAAAATGTAATATCCCGCGAAAATGCTTGAATTTTTCACGTTGAGTTACAGGGGAAATGTCTTTCTTCTCAGTATTCGAGGGAGTTTGGTTTACCTGACGCTTCACTCGAGTCTCGGGTAAATTGGAGGCGTAGCTTATGAATCCGGTTATTTTATTGGGCGTCGTACCCTTTGTCTCGCGGAGGTCTTGAATTGCTGAGACTACGAGGGCCGCCAATTTCATCGGTTTAATCTTATCATTTCTCTTTGTGGACTTCGTGCTCTTGCCCCTTTTGCCGGCACTCTTTGCCATATTACTTGTATTTTTTATGCAATTTTTGAGGATTATTCAATGAGTGGAATTGTCACGGGGAATTTATTGATTGAGTGAATTGCTGGGACAGTGATTCAATTTTTTTTAGCGGATCTCACTTCAATCTCGTCGTTTGTTTTTCATTCGGTTTCGGGGAGAATTTTCGCGGATCGATGAGTTATTTCATAACAGTGGCTTATAAAATACGTTGAGGAATTTTCATTTTGTAATTTTTTTCGGTGTCAGAAATACTAGCCGATTCACTCTTGAGAATTTCTACATCCAGAGATTTTTTAAAAATCAATTTAATCATTTGTTGATCCTCCGAAATTACTAAAAAATTTCTAAAAAATTTTCTTTTAATCTTGAGAATTAAAAAACAAAAATAAAGAACAATCTTTGAGATTTATAAATTAGCGAGAAGATGACTCGTTTATTATTTCTGCCTGATAAATTTAAAAATACCCCAATTCCCTAAAAATCGATACTTTTGTCTTCTCAAATAAAAAATAAATCTCAATAAAAAACTTTTAATGTCTCGAAAAAATTATATATAATAATATAGATAATCGCGAAAAACGAAAGTGCCAAAAAAAATTAATTCAATTCATCTTGTATAAGGCCTAGGAAGTGGAAAAACGCAATTCTGAGCCGTCCATCTGCCTATACGGAACCCAAATTTCCTCAGGAATCGAATGGAATAGGTTTTAAGGCTCTATCT